GTGGGAATGACTCATGGCTGTACTTTCAGGGCGTGACGGCGAGGCGAGGACGAGCCGACATCTCCACGACAGTCGATCATCTGCCGATCTCGAGGACGCTCGAGCTTCTTCTCAGTGCCTTCAGGGCGAAGCCCTGCCTCATCCAGAACTGTTGATCTCCTGTAGTCTGTCGTGTAATTGTCGTGCCTATTAGTCTATGTAGTGGATCTTTGCCATTTAATGTACTCTTTGTAAACGCCATTCATACGCTGATCTCATATATTCCATTGATGCCTTAAGGATAAACTTTAGTGAATAGACAGCCTTACGACAGAAGCAGGAAATGCAGCTTCCGCGGTGCGCGCTCGCTTACTTTCGATGGCAAACCGTACGCGGGCTTTTATGCTTCAGACGACAATAACTTACTTCGTACGCAACTCTTTGCAAAACTGAAACACCATCACTAAGTTCATAGGTTCCTATTCCAAAATGTGCTGTACCGTTCGTGAAGAGCTCCTAGTCAGAAGAGATTCTAGACGGGTAATTGACCGGCAAAATTGTGATCACTCAAAGACTCAACCCCTTGTGTACCATTGTAAGAATGCTCATTCCTTTGATGCAATAAAAATTTGATGTCCCTTCAAAACACATATGCTCGTTGAAATGAGTATAATTAGAGCTTGGTTATCATTTGTGTACCATTGTAAGAATGCTCATTCCTTTGATGCAATGAAAATTTGATGGCCCTTCAAAACACATATGCTCGTTGAAATGAGTATAATTAGAGCTTGGTTATCATCGATCGCTCTGGTCTGAGTGTGCTGTGCGCCGTGCATTACGCTTCTAAGCAGAGATGGTGAGGCTTTCGAAGTTGTAGCTCCAGATTTCAGGTGATTTTTGTACATGCAAGCAGATGTTTGTTCAGGGTTTGGAAAGATCGATCTGTTTATGATGCATCATTCAGTCGTTTACGTACTTCGAGTTCATGCTAACTACTGATATTGCTAACTAATTATTTTATTATATTCTGTAGTCTTCCACACACTCGGGTCCTTTGCAGCGCGTCCACTCCGCCGAATTCGCGACGACACCTTTGTGCTGTTTGCTGCTCACTGACCCTGCGCTTACAACCCATCCCCCCCCTCTCCCCAAGCAACTAAGTATTAGGTTGGCGGGAAAGTTCTGTCATATATTTTTGAACCCAAAATATTTGCTAATTTTCTGAAAAGCGTTAACCGGTAATATGAGCACTTATACATCAAAGAATGGTCTTTCTATTGGTATCACTGGCTTGACTCCTGCTTCTCCTTATTGTGCAATATGAACAAGAATGTTATCCGCTACCTTTGGCACCGACCCCTCCAAGCGCTTCCTCAAACTCTTTCTTCTACCGCCCTGGCGCCAGCATGACAGCTGTCGACGCCGAAATAACGGAGCTGCACAAGGACAATGTCTACAGTCATCTGACAATCTTCCACGACGCTGGCTCTTCAGAGCGGGAGGCTACGGTGCGAATGGCGAAGTGATGTTTGGGAGTACCTGTGATCTCAGCTTGAGATAGCTGTGGGCCGGGAAACTACTGTATAAAGAAGCTGTCTCCTCGGTTCAATCCGTACGCAAGGCAGCTACGAGATCTGAAGCGAATCGTCAAGCAGAGGGCAAAATCCATCGGCACAGTCCGTCTTCAACGTGCTGGTGCAGCACACCCGTCAAAAAAAGTTCGAGCCGTACTTCATGCAATAGAGCTGGATGGCTCTCCCCTTGCACCGGTGTAGTCCAGACATTGCTCTTTCTGACTGCTAGTCGCCTCCCGTATTCAACCGTTATACAGCCGAGAAAACCTCCACGACTTGAGCCCAAGTCAAAGTTGAGATGATGTCCAACATTGCGTCGTGCCAGCCTCCATTGTGAAGCGATGGCATCCACGAAGTGCTCGAAAACTGGCAGGGATTCCGCAATGACATTGCTGTATATTTTGATCTTGTACGCCTCTCTATAAAAAGAAAGCCTAGTTTGAAAAAATGTGACAGAACTTTCCCGCCAACCTAATACAACCCCTCCTCCTCTCGATGGGTTTTGCACAGCGATGCGTGCCCTTATTTTGTCCAAATTTTCAATGTTTCGGGAAAGTGGACGCAGACCACGTTTGCTCTCTGATGACTTGACTAGTGCATTAGATGCAGAATAGGAACCCTTGCAGAAATGAAACTCTCGGACCTTTTTTGTGGTCTCGTCCATCCAATCATTCGCGATAAGCATTTCCTCGAATGCTTCTCGCAAATCCTTCACCATGTCGAGAACTGAGTTCTTCGATGCCTGTAACAGTATCATCTCCAGTGAGTGTTTCAATTCATTAGGACATATCTCACAAACTAACCTGGTCAAACATTTTGCTTACGAATATGGCTCCAGCAGCGTACCGCATTTTGAGCATCGTTTGAAAAGCACACTCCTTATGTGTGGGAGGCTTTCGCTTTCTTCCATACATCGAGCAGTAAAACTCCTTGAATAGACGGAAATTCAGAGAAAACTCATTCCTCCTTCATAATGGTATAAAGGAAATCAAGTAATCGGATTTTGAAGGCAACATCTTGCCACTGTTGTGACTTTTTTTTTTTATTTTCTAACTCAATATACAGTGGGAATTAGTCAACAATATACTCGTCATAGTTAGCCACTACAGTGCTCCACCCAATGGACAGGTAAGCATTCCCCTCCTCCCAGAACTGAGAAGGCTGCGAGTAGAGTAAGTCAGCGCCCCTCGACTGTTGTCATCAAAGTTGCTGAAAGTTTTCTTAGCTAAGAAAGCCTTAAGGAGGCGGAGCAAGCAGTCGTAGGGGACTACGTCAGGAGAATATTATGAGCGGGGACTGGTCTTCCAGCCTTGCTCCTCAATTATTTGGTAGGTCTTCATAGCAGGTATGGGGTCTCGTGTACTACGAACGAGGTGACCCGAAGCTAGTCTCGGTCATTTTTCTCCAACAATTTTCACTCGTTTCGGGAGCTGAGCGACACAAATGGTGGCGGTGATCGTGTGTTCTTACAGGGCAGCTCGTTCTGCAGCATCCCCCTCGCGTCCCAGGAGCAGCACAGGAGAACCTTCTCGGAATACATGCTGGACTGCTAGAATGGATCTTCTCTTTGAGAGAGACACACGGTACTGTGTGGGTTGAAATCATAGAGGACCCATCTCTCATCCCCACTAAGCAGTCTCCCGGAAACTCCTTCTGACGAGGGCGGAGAAGGGGAGACTGACCAAGGGTACCCGGGTTAGGCACACTCGAGTCTTGTCGCAAGGCGGGTGGTAGCCTATGGATCCCCCTTGTCTGCTTCGAGAATGGTGGAGTCTTATACTTCTTGGGGCCGTCCCAACCAAGGTTTGTCTTCGAGGATCGAGTCTCTTTTCGCGAAGCGAGCGAACCAGAGGTGGACAGTCATGATGGTAGTGGTGTCCTCCGCCAATGCACTGCTGATGTTGCGGACAGCTGCCGCTGCTCCAGTGCCGCGGGGCCACTGATAGAACATGATGACCCGAAGATGCTCCTGTGAAACTGACATCGTAATTAAACCCAGACACTTTATTGGAGAGGAAGGGTAACTTAAGTGAAAGTAATAGCGCTCAAAAGTACATTTTTCGCTCACTCCTTTGATGGCCACTGGGAGAGGCAATACGTTATTTAGGCAGAGGTGTTGGTCATGAACAACTCTGTACCAATTTGTGATCCCGAATTGAGCCATTTTCTGACCGACTTTTTTCTCCGTGGACAGATTTGGCTCAAATGTTGTCTCCTGGGGTATTTTGACCTCCTGAATACGAATATGACATTCACATAGCCCGAAACCTCCTGGCGCCTGCGCCACAGGCCGGTGATCTGAGGTATTTTGGCGCCAGCGCCAGTGGCCCCTGCGCCAGGAGGTTTCGGGTTGAGCGGATGCGATATTCGTGTTCAGCGGGTCGAACTACCCCTGGAGCCAAGTTTTCAGCAAATTCTGCCCACGGAGAAAAAAGTCGGTCAGGAACTGGCCTGATTTCGGATGACTGGGGCAGTAAAGGGTAAATAGTGCCCTTCATCGCAATGGTGCTTGAACGGTTTACGACATGCTATCGAGAGACTGTCTTCTGACGAAAAGCTGTTCACCGTGCAGCCGATTTTGAATTGGGAAAAAGACTCCGTTGGAAAGCAAGGGAGCGTGACCAATTTGAACATGCTGGGGAAGTCGTCATTTGGGCAGCCATCTGGCTGCGAAGCCAAGTCTCTAAGTGGTCTGTGTCAAAATCCACCAGACACAGAACAGAGAAGAGCCTTCTCAGAAAACAGTCGGGTCGCAATCAGCGCTCCTCACCTACTGCGCTTCCCACCACTGGTTGTTACTTCTGAACTGATCGGTAGCCGATCGCCATTGGTAGCACAGCAGCTAGGGGCGGGCTCGTGGTGCCGCCCACGTCGACTGCGATGTTACAAACTATGGAAAGGCATTCTTCGCGCAAAGGGTTCTTACGCACACTGGGAGATTAAGATTCGCGAACGTCTCTGAAGATGGAGGTGCCAGTTCAAGTTAACACGTTCGCGGCGGCGTGTACTCCCGGGAGTACGCCTATTCGCTCCTTTTTGGATATTCTTTTGTAGAATCGGATATAAACAATCAATCAACAGAGAATTAATATAGACACCATGAAGAGTCGTGTACACCCGTAAAAGAATTCGAAACCTTCTCTCTCAAGGCGCATCGGGCTTTTCCGGGAGTACACGCGCCTCTTTGCTCGTTTTCGCTATTTTTTTTCTTTTTGAATAGTAATTGTATGCATATACTGAAACAAACAATAGAGAAATGTTATCCATACATTAGAATAAGCGTGTACTGCCAAAAAAACACGCGAAAACTTTTTTCTTCAGACCAATCGTGTACTCCCAGGAGTACACGCGCCTCTTCTCTTGTTTTTTTTACCAGTCGGATCACCTGCCGCCGGCTGCGCTCCTTTTGCTTCACGGCCCGGCCCCGCCGAGATGGCCTGGCTTCGCCAGGCACTCTTCCCTTGCTTGAGGCAAAATGTGCCAAACGATGGCAGTTATTTTTTTATTAAAATGTAGGAAAATGAGTTGAAAAAGCCGAACATTAGTTGTTATCTACAAACATCTGGTTTCTTCTTAACTACAGACTTCCAACAATGAGAAGGCAGGACCGTATCATCAAGGACCGCAGTTGCAACATCAGAATGGGTAAAGTTGAATTAGTCCGGATGAGTGCTTAACACCCGGAAGGAGGATAACTGTAGAGTCATTGGTGCCGCTGAAAGTGAGAACTTCAGCGGGACCCATAACTTCATACTGTTGTACATGTCAAAGTGTGTGTCGCACGGCCAGCCAGCTCAAACGTTACCGCTAGCAGTACGTCTCCCCTCCCAATGGTTGGGTTCCCTCATTATTTTGCTTCAGTTGCGACCTCCAGTACCCAACCCAGTATTGCATATCATATAACAGGCAGATTTCCGAAAAAACTTTCAGTTGATAAGTTTTTCGCACTTTCCCGTTTCAGCCGCATTATATACGCTCCCTCTCGCTCCCCCCCCCGCCCCGCTCGGCACCATTTCACGCATAGGTCGTCCATTGAAGTGTTGACAGCAAATACTTCAATGGACGACCTTGATTCCGTACATCGAAGGAAAGAGTTCACGTACTGAGCCTCTAATACTTGGCATTAAAGCGGTAAGAAGTGATAAAAATGTAGCGCAGATGGTATCTTATCCATTCTTATCGAATGATATGATTACCTGCCACCCGTCATCAATGTCCTTATCACTAAATCCTTATAATTTGGTAATGTAAAAGCTGCACCGCCTTGAACAGCGACGACGACTGAACGTCTCTTATCAGCCCCTATCAGTAGTTATCGCTTCCAGCCACCCACGTTGATGTCCCCATCTCACCCTCTATATCACTTGCTGAGACGTACGCCTCGCTGATGCTGTGACCTGCGCTGTGAATACGATGACCTCACCATTCTAACGCCCCTTATCGAATCTTATCAGCAGCTTACAGTTCTTGTCACCCACCAATAATGTTCTTGGCCCATACCCTACATCATATCTTGGAATCAAGAGCTAGCTGATGCTGTCACCCGCGTTATGAATATGGTAACCGTCCCCTTCTGATGCCTCTTATTAGATCTTATCGGCGATACAAATTTTGTGGCACACAGGCAGACACACACACACACACAC